ATCAGTCTAAGATAATTTTGAAAAACGCATGTTTTCATTCGTCCTATCTTCTATCATGGTACTAAAAGTCGTCATGCAGATAAAAACCAGAACAAATATTGTTTGTTAAAGGTATTCTAAAAGGAATTAAAGTGCATGCAAGCAGAAGAATCAAGTAAAGATATTAAACACAGCTTTATTAAGAGATAAGCTCTTAGGCAATGATATAAAACATGGAGGCAATAGTTTTTTAATTAATGGAGCATAATGCATAAACATAATTAAAAAAGATAATTTACGTTTTTGCACAATGATTCGTCGAAATTAATCTTAAAATAAATAAATACATTGGTGGGAATTGTCTAAAATGCATAAAAATTACCAAAAATATTTGTAGAACATGTTAGCTTACCTTTAATTCCTCTATAATGGAGGTATTTAAATTAGCAAAACAGAAAGTTAAATTTCAGTCCAGGTAACTTAGTCAGAGACCACAAATAAGATCGATTACTTAAGTTGGCGCAAATACTAGTTACCGATGCGTGTTTTAAAACGTCGGCAAGGAAGACGCTAATACCAGAATGCAATTTAGGCAGAGCAACTGGACAACAGGACGCGGACAGTAACAACAGGACGCGGCTGCTCCAGAAGCTCTAATCTAAACGTTCAAAACCCTCAGAACTTAAATGCACAAAAGCAAACTAATTTGCATTCTGGTGAGGACTCCGGCAAGGAATGTTTCAATAAAGGCTTGAACCATAAAATTGCTTAATTAAGATAAATTGCATAACATTTTCCTCACCAAAATATAAATAAATCGCAAACGAAGATCTTAATGACCTTGGACAGCGATTACAAATACTGAATTAAATTCAGGAATTGATCACCATCTCACGTCTCATATCTCTTGTCTCTTACAGGAATCTGGAACGAAAAATAGTTTAGTGATAGAAAATTTTGAAAATACGGCAGCAACCTGGATAATATTACCTGAATAACTTATGCATTTCCCCCCGAAGAACTAATTCTCAGCTTGTACCTTTTTTTTAATAAAATCCGTTAACTCATCTACCTTAATTTAGTATTTATAATTAAGTTCAAATTCTAATCTGGATCTAACTTCCATGATGGGGAATGCTTTCAAAAGAGCAGTTTTAAATAATCCGAAACCAAGTTCTCACTGCCTGGGTCACCTTCTAGATATTTCCCAACCTTTTTACACCAGTTCTAAGCTTAACGTCGCAGCGCAGCTGTTGATAGGGCCTCCTTGTGCAATTCTTTAACAGGATATGTTAAAAAATAGGTTTCCAAATTTTCTAAAATTGTAAACACCGAACTTTTACCGATGCAACTACTCGATGGTTTCATTAATGCCCTCATAGTGTCCATAATAAAGCTGAAACCGTCCATCGGACTTGATAGTGCTGTAGGAATCAAGAAACTCAAGTTCTCAAGAAACTCAAGAATGAACTTGAGAAACTCAAGAAATGTCGCAAGACAAATCTTGAGTTGTCTTGCGACACTGATCATGTTATCGTTGGGCACCAAGTGTAAGGTTTTACTGCGTTAGTTGAAAGCTTGTGCTTAAGTCCTGCAGATCCAACTAGACTTCTAGCAAGTTATCGCTGAATCTGAAATAATCACAAAGTCGAAGAAGGTTAAAATATTTTTTTTATTTATCTTAAAGTAAATAGATCGGCACAGTTTCTGCTATAAACGAACTTCCGCTACCTTGCGGGTGTTTAAGTTAACAAAGCAGCAAGTTAAATTTCAATGTAGGTAATTTAGTCAGAACATATATACGTAACAAATATTACTTAAACTGGCTTAGATGATTACTTGCGCATGGCCGCCTAAATGCCGGAATACAGTTTAGTGCCTAAATGCCGGAATACAGTTTAGTCAGAGCACCTTGCGACATTAACTAACAGCAAAATGCAGCTGTCAAAAGCTGAAATCTAAGCATTCAAATCCCTCTGCTTAAATACACAAAAACAAATAATTTGCATTCTGATGAGGACTACAAAAAGACGTTAACAGGAAAGGCCTTGAATCACAATAATTGTTTCATTGATATAAAATATACCTTGCAAAGCCTCGTTCTGTTATTCCTGGCAAGGGATTTAGATATGTTACGAAAAGATACTAAAATTTAAACCAAATTCAAACGCTTGCAATTTGTCCAAACATAGATCCATTCACAAAACCCCACTTGAGATTTGGTAATCCACAGAATACATTATACTTCGCTGGCGTAATTAATAAGCAGCACAATATATTATTAAAGATGCGTCAACACGTTTCTTCACCAACGGAACCTTTGATGCGCCCCTTTTTTTTTCTCCTTCGTAGTTGCACGCACAAAGCAATGGACTGTCGCGGTGAAATATGGGCTTCAAAGTACTGAAACATCGAAATTTTTAGATCCCTTTTAACCCTAGATCCTACGGGCAGATTCGCTGTCTAGGTGGGCTGGATCTCTCTCCCATGAATTAAATGAATAAATGATTATATGTAATTTCTTCATCTTGCTGATCATGATGACATATATAATTGTTACTTGTAATGCTTTACAGATTGCTAATTTTCTTTTACGGTTGATGGAAAAATATTTTCCGAATCACGTGTTCGCGACACGAGTCTTTCAGGGTAGTATTATTCTCTGACAATCTCGGTTCTGGGGGCAAAAGTTATACAAGCTTGGAACCTACTATCCAAAAGGGCAGCTACTGTCCCGGAAAGTTCTAACGTCAGCCACCCGAGTGGGTAGCGTTACTACCAGACTGTTGATCGGATTTTTAAGCTCTGCACTCTTCGTGGTGCATCCAGGAGATAAATCCTAGCACTCAGAGATTTCGTTTTGTTCTGCGGTGCATAGAAAATTCAATCCATACCCTATGGGAATGGGGTACCTCGCGAGGTGGGGTGAAAAAAAATCCTGCTATTATCCGTCTGGGAGCTTGCAAGACTAATCCCCAGCGTAATAAGGAGAGCAGAATAAAGGCTAGTTTACACTTCTCTGAATGCTTTGTAGCAAGCCTCTCGCTACGACTACTTTGACAATGTAAACGCTCACTTCGCCCGAATAGAAACGTAGGGAGATGAGTCAGCGATTCTGTTTCTACTTCGAACCAGTTGAAAAATCTATCTGGTTGAAAACTCTATCTGAATATTTTGTGATATTGCTGTTGAAAATCTATCTGGAACCTATTGAAATCTATTTGTTCGCCGAGACGTCGAGCCCAATTTTTACCACCATGACAAAAATGCCAAGATGTAGTGATAATCAAACTATGGCATTTTTTAATGCATATCCATCTTGTAAAGTATTATGGAATGCTTCACTACTTAAATATTGCGACCATTGTTTACTAACTACTGTTCAGAATAAATGTAAATTTTTGATATTCCTGAAAAAACATAGAAGAAAAATAACTAGGGTTTCGGATTCAAAATATTTATTTTAAACGTATTTATCAGCCCAAAGGGGCAATTTTGCCCAGAAGGACTATTAATTTCGTTTTGGCGTTTTGCGTTGAAAACTTAAATGCTTTGAATCACTTTTCAGATTGCTGCCACCAAATATTATCGCCCTGTATTAAAGAAATTAAATAGTGAAGAATCTACATGAATGTATGCTTGTTTCTCGCATTGTGAAAAAAAACGGCGGTACCTAGAGCCATCAAATTTTTAATAACATAATCCTCCTCCCGAACACGGGCACCTGGATTAATGCATATCCATCTTGTAAAGTATTATGGAATGCTTCACTACTTAAATATTGCGACCATTGTTTACTAACTACTGTTCAGAATAAATGTAAATTTTTGATATTCCTGAAAAAACATAGAAGAAAAATAACTAGGGTTTCGGATTCAAAATATTTATTTTAAACGTATTTATCAGCCCAAAGGAGCAATTTTGCCCAGAAGGACTATTAATTTCGTTTTGGCGTTTTGCGTTGAAAACTTAAATGCTTTGAATCACTTTTCAGATTGCTGCCACCAAATATTATCGCCCTGTATTAAAGAAATTAAATAGTGAAGAATCTACATGAATGTATGCTTGTTTCTCGCATTGTGAAAGAAACGGCGGTACCTAGAGCCATCAAATTTTTAATAACATAATCCTCCTCCCGAACACGGGCACCTGGATGCCCAAATTTTGAATTCGAATTTGTTTTATTATCTGTTTCATATTTTGTAAAACTTCAATGAATATTTGAATAATAAACTCGACGATTTCAAAAACGAGCAATGGCAACAACTGCTACGTAAAAAGGGCAACCATTTTTATCCATCAGCGGTGCACGAACTGTGTATCGGAAATTCTTAAAGATATGCTCAATTAAAAATTATTTTACGATATTGTCTGTCGAACTGACTTTTATGGTTTAAGTGCGAAGAACGTGATATTTAATAAATAAAAGGTAATACACAAAACTTTAAAAAAACTCCCTGAGGGCGTAATATAAAATCTGAAAACTTTCAGATTTTTTATTTTATTTTATTTTTAATTTTCTATAATCAAAAAACAATTAAATTATATGCTTTTCAACTGCCCGATAAAACACAGTTTTTAATGAAAAAATAATGAAAGGGCCAACATTTCATTTTTTGATATAAAACCAGCTTTTACTCATGGCCAATTACATCCAAATACAGTACAATCTAAAATTTTGAAATCTTGCTTATAGACTTTCCTTTTTATTTGAACAACAAATTATATTTTATTTATAGTCGGAAGAACAGTCAGAAGTATTAAGATAAAAATCGCCGACAGGAGGAGTATGAAGATATTATTAAACATGTTAAAATTTCAGGATATTGGATAGTACTCTTCTTCTTCTTCCACCCCCCTCTCCTCTCGAGAACAGAAATTAGTCCGTTGGAAACTGCTTCGCAAACTTTAAACATTGCAACTGCTACGTCGGTATCCAATTGTAAACAAGCGGAGGCGAGTTGTCAGTCCGCTCTGATATGTGTAAACAATCCATCAGATTACAGGTCGGTTCACTCGGTTCGAGATACCATAGCGAGCAGCTTGCTAGACGTCAGAGAAGTGGCCCTAAGGACAAGCACCCGTAGTTGCTTTAATGATAGCAGGAGGGGGTCGGTTTGAACGCCTAGCAGGAGGGTATATAAAAATGTGATTGATGCTCGGTTAATTTGCTTCGCAAAGCTTATTATGGCAAATAAAGAGCAGTAAGATGTGAAGTCTCAGTTGCCACCTCTCTGGTTTCGACCCGGAGACTCCAGTTTCAGTGCAAAATTACGGAATCCGGTTTTATGAATTGAATCTTCTGGTTCAATAAGAACATTCTGGTACATGAATTTCGTAAGTGCTTTCTTTTTTTTCTTTTCTTTTCTTTTTTCTTTTTTTTTTTTTAAAAGAAGACAGAAGACAAAATTTTATAATATTTTTTATTTGGCTTGAGTTAGAACTTGTCTGGAATTCAATTCGAACCCTCTATGGCTCGTTTACCCTCTATGGAAGTTGTTGTTGAAGTGTTTTAACGCGATAAAATAAATAACGTGATAAAATGGATCATTAAACACGAATCTGAGCTTCTTAATAAACCTTTGCAGCTTTAGAATGATGTCATAGCATGAAATACATTCGTAATATCACACATATATTAACTTTGATTACTCAAAACATGAAATGTGATAATCGAGCTGAATAGAATCGGAATCACTACGGAGGCATTTGTTTAAGAAGTTATTTCTCCCGTGTTTTCATTAATAAATTATATTTTTACCTCTTCACTTGCTGTCAATGAAGTAGATTGCATTCTCATTTTCTGTAATTTTTAGTGAAGATCAAAATAATGATCAATAATTGATTCAAGGTTTTTCTTGCGAATTTCATAAGATGAATAGAAATTGAAAGATTATTTTTACACTAATTTATGTCTAAATAATTAATATTCAGTCTTTTACAAGTCTTTACAAGAACCTGAAAAATCTTCATCGCAATTTAAAAATCACGAATGTTAAAGAAAGTGAAACGCTTAAATGCCACTCAAATCTAATTTATTTACTAAAGAAATATTGATTATATTATCTCCTAATATAAATTTAGTAGAATGTATTAAAATGAAGTAACCCAGAAGTAAGAAATTGAATTCCAAAAAAAATTTTTAAAGGTACTCGAATCTAAATCATGAAAAATAATTCTGAAAAAAAAATTTTTAAAGGTGATGCCACATCATTCTTACTTGAGTAAAAGACAAAACACCTTCGCATTTATTAATTATTGTTCATTGAATGGAGGTGGGTTTGTTCCCTTTGAAAAGTCGACTAATTTCCAATCAATGACGATAACTATTTTGTTTTATAAATTTTCTTTTTCAAAGATTGAATTTCTTTTTCTCATGATTTAAATTCAAGTACCTTTTTACAAGTTTACAATTTTTTCAGAAGTATTTTCCATGATTTAAATTCAAGTACCTTTAAAAAAATGTTTTTCGGAATTAAATTTCTTATTTCTGGGTTACTTCATTTTGATATATTCTACTAAATTTATATTAGGAAATAATATAATCAATATTTCTTTAGTAAATAAATTATTAATGTCTTACTTTGCAGCTATTGCGCAAATATTAGAAACATTTTTTTTTTCGATTTCAATGAAATTCAGTTCATTAATTCAATATTGAAACTCACTGAAATCGAAATAAATTTCCTAATACTTGCGCAATTGCTGCAAAGTGAGATAATAATAATTTATTTACTAAAGTAATATTGATTATATTATCTCCTAATATAAAGTTAGTAGTATGTATCTAAATGAAGTTACCCAGAAGTATGATATTTAAAGACGAAAATAATATTTTTGAAGGAACTTGAATAAAACTTCTTACTTGAGTAAAAGACGAAACACCTTCGCATTTATTAATTATTGTTAATTGAACGGGAGTTGGTTTGTTCCCCTTGAAAAGTCAACCAATTTCCGATTAATGACGATAATTACTTGGTTTATTAATTTTCATATTAAAAGTTTGCATTGCTATTTTTCATGATTTAAATTCAAGTGCCTTTAAAAATATTATTTTCGGGATTATACTTCAGGGTATCATACTTCAGGGTTGCTTCATTTAGATACATTCTACTAACTTTATAGTATGAGATAATATAATCAATATTACTTTAGCAAATAAATAATAATTTATTTCTTAAGCGGCCCCCGACCGTTTCAAGTGATTTGGGCCTCTTGTGGAGATGGCCGCCTTAGAGAGGCGACAAACAAACAACCCGATGTTTGTTTGCATTGCTAAAAAACACTGCCCTACCTAGGAAATAACCATCATATACATAGTAAAGTAGTTGAAATACGAAGAAAAATACAAAGGCTAAATATCGATTAACAAAAACCTCGGGAAAATCAGTCAAAGATAAACTCGTACATCATCTTATCTACTAAATGAATAATCAGTAAACACTCCTTATCTGATGCTAAAGTCTACAGTGTAGGGGGGGGAATCCGGTTTTTAGGAGGTTTCTATGCAAAAATCAATTTTCGGGGGTGCTGTGTTAAAAATATAGCAACCCCCCAAGTACTGGAGCTCTCATTTTCCCATCAGATTACCTGTAATTCATATGTAATACAGTTATAAATACAATGTCTTGTGATCGGACATATTTAGGCTTCTAAAATCATGCCCAAAATTTTAAAAAGAAAATTTAGTGCAAAAGTTGTCGAAACGATTAATTTAAAGTAGTTAGCAGTTTCTTATAATCTATATTCAAAGCATTACAGGATAAAATATAAAAAAAGTAGACCTGCAAGGTCATTAAATAGGATTATTAAGTTGCAATTCTAAGGTTATCTGTCTAAGGGGATATGGATGCCTTCACAGAAGACTTCCTAATGGAAATAGAGTCGTAGTCATGTTACAAAAGGGAAAAAAACAGTGAAAACTTCCATGCGACCAGCCCGTTTGCCATTTAAACTCAGGTCAAAGTACCAATACTCAACGATTTTTAACCTCTCCTTTGCTAGTGATCGTAGGTAAATAAAAACTAGCCTATGGATTTCAACATATTATTCTCATTACTATAAAAATAATCGAATTCTAAATGATCCAGATTTGTAGTAGAGCATTATTAATAACATAGAGTACGCTTCAATTAAGGCCCACCAGCGGACAAGCGGTAAAGTCGCTGAACACTGGTAGTTCGGTCCGAGGTTCGAATTCCTCGAATGGGCTGGCTGCATGGCCGTTTTCGGTGTTTTCCCCCATGTTTAACGTGTATACGAGTCAGTTTCCCTTAGAAAGTTCTCCACGAAGGCATCCTTTCCCTTAGGCAGAGAGCTATCGAGGCTTTGCCACAATCACATAAAACTAAACCAAACGTTTCAATTAAATAAGAGAATATTAAAATATAATCCAGTCTGTTGGATGTTTGAGTTGATGCCAAAGAAAATGTCCTACATTTGTGAGATTACAGGAAACCTCAGCCTTTTTTTCCAAAAATTTATGAAAGTAAAAATTCTAAGTATTTGCTACCCAAATCTAATTTAGCATTTTCGGTGAAGGTGGACACTTAATATTCTGGAGATAATACTGGAAAAAAAATATTGCAGAGGTTTAGCAATAGAGAGTGGGAAAGGGGAATCTATGATACGAGATGTGCACTTTCTCTATTAAAACCGCAGTCTCAAGTTCATTCACCTTATAATTATTCTACTATTTATATTCATTTTCTATTGTTTTTACGAAACGATTCTAAGATCCTGAAGTGCCTGCAAAATCAGAAGTCAGATGCGAAAGCCTTGAATTTTTTCGTGTCGTAATAACTAAATTTTGCTCAATATTATGAAAGCTATTAATGTTTAATTACTTTTGAGAGACGCAGAATTTGCATTAAATTACATGAAGAATATCATAAATAAAATTACTACAGTGTATTAATGTTGTAAATTTAGACATCATTCTGATTCAGAATGAATAAAATATATGCGGTGAAACCTCCCGTAGCAACCACCATTAAAAAGTATCAGTATTACTTCCGCATGAATAAATAATGGTATTGAATATCATTGATAGTTATGATCTCCAAGTTGATTGCCTACATCCAGAATTAATCATCCTAAGTCCAGAATCTCCTAGAACCGTGGATAGTCGTCCTAGATTGAAATTATCTGAAGCCAGTACTTCTATTTGTGTTCCTGATCAATTATAGATTGCTTTTATTTTTCAGTCATAATCGAAGAAAAGTGTCAAAATGTTTAGTTTGAAATAGTGTAATTTTCCGAAATTAATGATTCAAAATAAAGTCATTAATAAAATTTTAGTTAGTTACTAAAAAGTTACTATTTTATCAAAATTTTAAAATTTGAAGACTTTATTCGGTTAAGTATTGAGTTCAGTAGTATATTGCTATCAAATTTTTATAAAATAAAATTTTATATAATATTCAGATATATAACTATATTAAACTTTGTTTTAACATATTTATTCGGATAATTTGTTTAAAATATTTTTTGCATGAGCTAGTTTGAGTTATAGCATAAGCATAGTAAATAAGGATTTCCTATGAATTTAAAAATTAAAAATGAATATAAAAATATTATAAATTTGGTTATAACTCCACCAATATTAAATATTTGGGATGAAACATATACAAAAGGAAGAGAAAATCTTTCTCTATAGAAATATTATAAACTCTCAATATTCTTTATAAAGCCCTCCGTTAAATTTTTGATAAAAGGTACAACCATTAACAGTTATGGCAAATACATTTATAAAAGCGATGTTGTTCTTAAGATTTCAAACACTGAAACAGTAATATTGAAATATTTTTTAATTTCTTATATAACTTTTAAGCCTCTTTAAATTGCAGGACAAAACTTATATCACTATAAAGAAAAAACAATTCTTTTCAAAATTATTATAAATTTATTATATTTGCTAAAGTCACTTTCTTTGATTTTTTTATTAGAATTACATACATTTAATTTGAGCAATCATTATAATGTTGAATTTGCTAAATAGATGATGTTTTCATAGTTTGATTTCTTTTTTCGCTTATAACTTTCAGGTGGTTCGCAGAACCGCTTCGATTGTAATAATAGTGGATTCCTCTCACAAAGGGCTTTCGTTATTTTGGCTTTCGTTTCATTTTTCATTGTTCAAAGTTTTAATACCCAAAGGATGTTTTTACTGCAGGTCAATTTAAAACTTTGAAGAGCGCAGAAAATAACATCTTGAACTTGTCAGTGCCGCAATAAGACTTCGTAGGCACTTATGTATAGTTTTTAGTTGTAAGAGTTTGTAGACCTATTAGGTTATATTGATGCAAGAACATGAGAAATGTGCAATACCGTCGCCG